ATGAGTGGATTAAAAGAAAATGAATCCCCAGTAAGAATTTTCAGAACTGATTAATTTTAAGCAAGACGACAATGGAATTTATTAAGCAAGAATGCCAAATAAGTGTTGGTTTCAGCCTCCCAAATGTGAGGATGTTCTGCATTTCTCTATGGTATATGTGGTTTTAACCTTTCAGTGGTTTCACAAGAATTACATTTGATCCATAAAATTGTATTAACATAAGGATCTTATAGTTGAAACATACAGACATAAAACTGATTGACTGAAGTAATAAAGCAACACTGGTATTAGTCTAAGCATACATAATCAAAGCATGACTAGTAAATCCTACATGTGACCGATAAAAGTGAATTTTGATGTGTGATCTGTGCCTGAGGTAAATGCAGTCTGTGGGATTTCAGTAACGGCCCTCTCATTAGGGCAGCCACAGTAACAGATCCTTTTAGCCCTCTCTGGTGCCAGTACCACACACTGACACCACGGAGAGAGAGTGAGCGCCCGAGCCGGTCTGTCAGTCTGCCTCTGCAAAGGTCACTCCTGCAAAGAGCTGGAGGAGTTTGGACATCAGCCAGGAACAGTTGGGAGGCGGGGAGGGGAAAACTGACAGCTAAAAACAACAGAGACAGTCGGGTGCCTAAGGCCGCTCTGACGTCAGCTGTCCCTGTTAAAGGCCAGGAGTTGAGAGGGAACGACAGGGAGGACAGACAGCTACATCACACAATAACCTCCTCACCTCTGCTGGGGGGACCGCGGTGCTGTGATAGGGGATTACAGGAGGCGTATGGTGCTCATGTCACCTCTGACTCCTTTGTTTGGGTACAGTTTCAGTAAAAAAGGCTTCTCAAGAAAATATAATACACATAAAGCATAAGCATAAACAGCACTTTAAACTACATACAAACAACAGTCTTTTATATTTTGTTGTATTGTATATTTCATTGATTGTGTTGTTAATATGTACCTTATGATGACCTGCCGGGTACTACAGACAGAAAATAGCCTTCAGGCTAATTCTGTCATATTCATTTTGGACAAAGCCAGGCTAACTGTTTCCCCCTTTTCCAGTCTTTGTGCTAAGCTACTTTAAGCTAACCGGCTGTGGGCTCCAGCAACATCAAAAACTACAAACATGTCTCCTGATAAGGTTTGGTGTGTTTAACATTGAAATGTTTCTAAGTGACATATTGAAACGTCACAGTTGAGTAGTAGTAAACAGTCGTAAAGTCAGTGAACTGACTCATTAAAGTTGTTTGCTAACGTTAGCCACTGCAAGATTTAGTCCTATCAACGTTCACCCTTTGTGTTTTGCCTTTCATTTCAACACTTCAAGGAACACTGTGTTCAGTCCTTCTTTTAAAAGTTATATATCCTCACTTTAATGACTGACAGGTTAATAACACTTAAGTGGTTATCAAAGAGTTGGGACAAAGATATGTACAGAGTGGGGCATTTTACAGATGAAAAATAAACTTGTCAGAGCTCTTTGGTGGACAAACTAATGTAGTATTATAGTAATGCAGTAGTGTAATATATGCAGATATTGATATATATCTACAGTAAGCAAATATTGTACTTGAATACTTAATGTCATAGAGAAATATACTTCAGAACTGAAACCAAGTTATCAGGGTTTTTTAGTTCTGCAACCTCTTTAAATCAGACTCCAAGAAGTAGAAACAGAGGTGAAAACAAGATCAATAAGTGAGTATGCATGCATTAAAGGAATAATTCACCAAAATCACACACACATTTCTCCCCTAGTGGTATCTAGATGTGCAGGTTTTCCATTTTATGTGCAGAGGTTGATGATTGTGACTCTGGTAGGACGACTTTTTCATGCTTTGAGCACTACATTTGATATTATGCTTGCCCCTCTATTGAGGTTGAGGCAGAAAAAACACAGATAAAAAAAAAAAATGAAACTGAAACTATCTGCATGGCTAGACACCACTGGGGGCAAGATTTTTTTGTAATTTGGATGAACTGACCCTTTAATACCGCAATTGATATCAAAGTTTCCCCTTTACATTAAAGATTCTAGTGGGATGTGTTGACACAAGTATTTACATAAAGAACATTGATCCTAACAACACAGAGGACCCAACAGCAAGAGGAGCCAAGGAGACTCTGTGATGCCAGCGGCTGCTGCAGTGACATTCAGCCCGGCCCTACTCTCCACAGCTGGGTGTTTTAGTGCTTGCTGACTCAAGGGACGCCGCCACCACAGCGGAATTCATGATAGAGCAGGCATCAAAGCATGACAGTGAGGACCTTGGGGAGCAGTACCCGTGAAATAGTTCATTGCAGGTGTCCGATGAGGAACAGTGGTGCTTCTGCAGAGGACACAAAAGTTCCTCTGGAGACTAATTTGTCTGTGTGATGTGGTGACCTTGGGAAAGGATTTTGAGCTGCTCTGAGGAGTAGGAATCCGGACACCACGCTGAGCCACAGCCACCCTGGCTCCTGACTGTTAGCCCTTTGGTATGTTGGTGAGGCTTCGTGCATGTTTAATGCCATTTTCCAGCTCACTTCCCGCGGTTTTCACCCTCGTTTCCCATTTGCTGCCTCAAGTGTGTGGCTTTACTGGAGCCCCGACCCTTCATATATCACTCCAGCTGCTTTAGAAATCTAGTTGATGGCACGCCACGCTAGCCTTGATTTCCTATTGATCCTATGAATCCAACAATTTTAAGGCACACTGGTAAGTCAGGAAATGCGCCATTTTGAATTTCATAGCAGCTGATACATTGTAGTTGGCATGACAGATATGATGCAACTTGACCATCTCTCAAATTGCAAATACATTAACTCAGGTACAGTACTGAAATAGTTTGATATCATGGGAAATAAGCTTATCCTCTTTCTTGTTGAAAAATAGAAGAGTAGATTGATACCACTCATGTCTATAGGATAAATATGACACTAAAGCAGGCAGCCCGTTAGCTTAGCTTAGCATAAAGACTGGTGACCGAGGTAAACAGCTAGCCTGGCTCTGTCCAGTGGTAACAAAATCTTCCTACCAGCACCTCCAAAGCTCACCAATGAACACTATTATAATATAATAATATAATTGTTTAATTAAGTGTGCGATTGACAACTCGCCATTTTATTGGGGGTTATGTGCTGGACCATTTCTTGGCCAAGACCAGAAACTTCCTGGAGTCTCCACTGGTTGCCAGCTGCTCCCAGCCAAGCAACAGTCTGGCACATAACCCCCTTCAAACGGTGAAATGTTGTTTTTAAACTTTTGTTTTTGTACAGATTAAACAAATGGGATATGTGTTGATAAATTGCGCTTCGGGAGATATGGGAGGCAAATGCAAATGTTAGCACCAGGCTAAGTGTTTACCCTGTTTCCAGTCTTTGTGCTAAGCTAATATAAGCTAACTGGCTGGTGGCTCTATCTGCAGGAAGCCGATGTAGTATAACTACCCTGTGTCTTGTCATGGTGTATGACTTTTGACAGTAAACGGTCTTCAGCTACCTCACCTTGTTGGCCGAGTCTGGCTGTTCCTGACCCAGTGTATACCCCCTACACAGCTGTTTATATTAAATTGTATATCATTAGCACCTGTTTGATTTAATTGTTTAATCATACACCTCATAATATACCTACAAAATCCCTGAGTTTGTGCATTACAGCATTCCTAAAATTACAGCATTATTCCATACCTGCCTAAAACTTTTGCACAGTACTGTAAATGGTATTGATTTTCTCATCCAGCTTTTGGCAAGAAAGCAAACAAGGGTATTTCCTAAAATGTCAAACTATTGCTTTAACTTCTCAGGAGTCAGCTGCTTTGAAGACATCCTTTTTAGGCAACCTGACTGAGCTCAAGTGGAAAAGGGACCACAAGCGGGAAAACAACAACGATGTTTGTTCCTTATGCCTCCAAATACTCTGTTCCAGACAGGAAAGACAAAAAACCTCTGTGTTTGATGAAGAACCCCCTGCCAGGGAAAGGAGATCACACCAACACCTGGCCACTGTCATGGCTGAAATCAGAGCTCTGTAATACAATCCACTGATTTTCAACAGCTAGTGATCGACACCACAGTTAAACAATGGGTACAGACATGAACAAACACAGGCTTTGGTTACCTGGATACTATTCTCAGCCAGTAACTCAGCAAAGAGAAGATGTTGACATTTAGAAAGAGAATATATACTATATAGTGTAATTTCAAATGAGTGGATTTTTACCATAGCAGTTTAGGTACAGTAGCGCCTTCAGTACTCCTGCACAGTATAAGAGTAATAAGTATAGTTTGTCATTTAGGGAAACAGCTCCATGCCAACATGCCTGTAGGTATAAATAAATCAACACCTCTAAAGCCCATTTAACACTTTATATCCTTATATCTCGTACAACAAGTGTAAAAGCTACTGTTTTTTAAAGGGGGAAGTAGTACTGAAATATTTCTTGGAGCCCAGAAACAAAATGTAGTAAAAGTTATCATACAAGTTATAACTGTAACTGAATACATAAATAAATATATTTAGACAATTGAAAGACAATGAGTGTAAAAAAAAAAGAAATATGAAGTTTTATACTATAACCGCCTTAAAGCTTTCATACTAGTTATAATAAATCAGAACTTGAATCATTTTAATATTCCCCACACAATATTTACTTTTCCTCACCACATTTTCAGTTTTCCTACAACTCATGAGACTGGGTGTTGCCCCCGCTTACAGTCTTTAAACTAAGCTAGGCTAACCTGAAGCTTCATATTTAACAGACCGATATGACACTTTTATCATTCTCCTCATCTAGTTCTCGGCAAGAAAGGGAATAAGCGGGATTCCCAAATGTCAAACCAATCCTTTAAGCTTCATTTTGTGTTCATAAATAAAAAAAAAAAACTTTCAGAGGATCTGAACTTGGCTTATGTCTATTCAACAGCAAAGTAATACTTTTATATGTCAAAATTTACTGTGACATAACACAATTTATGTAAAGTGCATAAAAATACGTCAAAAGACAAGCATTACACTGTTAGGATCTTTATGATGTTTTATTCCAGCACAAGTCTTTTGTGTTGTAAAATGGCTGTGTAGCTAGGAATTAAAGGAGAAGTACAAAATGGAAAATTACAGACAGTTCTAATATAATTTGTTTAAATCCCTATTGTGTTGATTTCCTAAAACCACATCTAGGAAAACATTATCTCCCTGCCTTCTTTGGAAACATGGTCATAAAATAAAATAAAAAGTGAATAGGTGAAAAAAGATGAAGCTTTATTTCAAGTCACTCTCACAATGGAGGGGAATCTGAAAGGGCCGCTGGATGAATCACATTTACAGCCCAATTTAAAATCCTTTTACCTACCCAGTCAGGTAGCCCTTTTTTTTTTTGCATTTCACACACATTTTCTATCAACACTGGCACACAAGGAGGGCAGTAAACTACGAAAAATGCACCTTTTATGCATTAGTTTATGACAATGATAATTGCTGCTCCTCTATAATTTTCCTAATTAAAGCTAAGCAAATTACATATAATTGACCTCAAAACCACAACACAAGTACATTTGAGAGTACAGCTGCGTCATTGCAGGGCCCTGCCAGAGTTTCCCTCGTAAGTGAAGAGTGATCCCTTCCTCACGGGCCAAGTTGGAGCTCGACACCGTGAAACCACTATTATGACAAACACCCCAAATGTTTGTCAAGAGGGAGTGCGAGGAAACAGCATCATTTGGGATTGTGGTCCACCAGGACATCAGGTAAGGCTTGATAGTCGAAGTTTTCCACTAAATCCTTATTTAAAAATGTACAATGGTACAAGTTTGAAACTGGGCCCGTGTTTCACCGTGCCAATGCTGTGTCAGCCAGCACACGGACGTACAGTAGCTCTGATGTCTTGAAGCACACAACAACATGAACAGGAACTTAACAAAACTTTAAAAAAAAACACAAAAAAACAAGGTAACACTAAGAAGTGAAGGGAAATCCTTGCTTTCGTCATCATCGTCTTTAAAAAAAAAAAAACCCATTCATGATATTTTAAACTAAAAATCTCTGAAATTATCATGGACTAAAAGAGAGAAATGCTGCCGTCATTTCCAACAATGAAAACTCTTCCTCAGCTTTGTTATGTACAAGATTTAAACATACCATGACATGAGGACGACAGTTCATGTAATTTAAAATGAAATCAAATTTGACCACTTGTGGTGAAACATGACATGAAATTGTATATATCAAAAATGAGGGGGGGAAAAGACAACCACACACACTCACTTAGGCAGGTTATGCTGTAAATTTACAGTAATGACACCTATACTTCTGTAAGCCAAAATCTCTATTTTAGAATGCTGAACATAAGGGTAGCTTTCTATAAATAAAAAACTTTTTTTCCCCCTCCATGTCTTTTCCCCACCCCGACGACACTAAGCATATGGCTTAAATATTTGTAAAACTATGTAGTCCAATGGGGGAATAAGAGTGTCTTCCTTCTCAGTCTGGCTTGCTGAGATGATCCGTCGAGACAGACGTCTACTCGGCTGTGTGTGTAGCTGCACATGGCTATGTCTGCACATTTGTTTGTGTAAGTGTGTATGTGCATGTTGGAGAGCAGAGGGCGAAAAGGGAAATCCACAAAGAGGGAGTCACCTTTAAGGTAATCACACTTCAATTCTTGCCCTGCGTGCCACTACTGTTTTCTTTTTGAAATCAGCACTACAGCACCGTCTCCTCTTCCTCCCTTCAATGTCTGACACAGAAACAATCCTTAAATCAAGCGGCGCATCATAGCCACCGGTGTAAACATGATCCCCCCTTTTCAGTGAGCTCAAAGGGGGGGGGGGGGTCAACAAAAAAAGACATCAACAACACATACAATGGCCGTTGTTGTGGAGATATGCGGGTAAAAGGGAAGAACATAAAACAAAATTAAAACATTGACAGCTACCAATCAGAAATATTTCCCAGGACAGGGAGCAGTTAGGGCAGTATGGATCCTTAGTGCAATGAAGGCCAGAGAAGCGGCCAGAGAAGCGGCCAGCTGCGCAGCCTCAACGTTCATACAGCCGCTCTCTCTGAAAGGTGTGGCCAGCCGGCTAGTCAGTGGGCTGAATGAAAGGTCCAGTGGGCTTCATCAACTCTTGCCAGGAAGAAGAACAAGGGCAGACGTAATGCTTCTAGTCACATATATTCACTCACACGCTTGTCCACACATACTTTATACTTCATGTAAAACTACTACGGCTAAAGCCTAGGCGGGGAAGAGAGAGAGTCCGGTCCAGAGCGTCCTCTGGAGGAGTCCTGAGCCTCATTTCGTTAACTTTGATTAAAAAGTCATGTACGTGTGAGTGTATACGTGTATGAGGACGTGTAAACATCAAAATGTGAGTCGTGACGAGTGCGAGAGATTATTCTGCTAGGCCATCAGAGCGAGTGTGTGGTGTGGGTTGTGTGCAAGTTAACTATGCCTGTGACCAGTTTCATCTTGTATGGGTATTTGTAATCTGTGTGTACTTGTCTTCCTATGTTTTTTTGTTTGTTTCCTGTTAAGTCTCTCCACTGTTTGAAATGTACATTCATCCATCGTGGGGGCAAGTATGACGCTGGGCCACACACCAACTGATCCTGAGGCTTTTCCAGTGGTCCGATAAAGACTCTCGCCTCATCAGCGCACTCAAAATAAACAGCAGTAGAGGTACTGGAGGACGCTGTACCACATGTAGCCGGAGGCGAAAGCAAACGACTGGATAACACACAGCCACACGGGGTCGAGGGTCATTTGACGGGAAAGTGCCTCCTTCTGTCCACCTTCAAGGGGGAATGATCCTGATGAGGAAGACACAAACACAGCCCAATCAGAATTAAGTCTAAAGTAAGATTTATTAAACCAGGATGCCACAGATTTAAAGTCAAACTGAAATCAAAATTATAATTTTTCTCCTGAAATATCTTCCCCTTTGGCATTTGTTTTAACTTACTTATTTGGTCAAAACTGTAATTGCCAAAGGGAAGAGAATAAAGTTAGATTAATTTTAGGTACTGTTACACATGAGGTGAACTCAGCGTGTAGTCTGGTGATTTAATTCAGAATACCGTGTGGAGTACTGAGGTTAGAGGACTACTAGTTGCTGTGAGTTTTGACAGTCACAATATCCGGACACATGACTGAGAGATTCAGCTAAGGTTAGCTAGAACCTCTCTTTTGTATGATGTGTTATTAACACAGCGAAACCAAGTTAAAGTCGTCTTTCTACAGATTTCTTGGCCATGCAAACGGGTAACCTGGTTTCTAATCGGCAGTTTACAAGTACGCACACGCATGACAAAGACTTCATACGTGGAAAGTATCACTGTGATAGCGGAGTGACTGGATGAAAGGAGAGATTATTACACATTGCGATGCATCCTGTTATTTAAAAGTAATTCCCACCAAAGTCTGACCAACACTGAAACGAACACAAAGCTGCCACTAGAAGTCTGAAGTCTGTTTCCATTGCTGAACATGACTTGACGTAGAGACATCAGCGCTGTGAGGGACTGAGTGACTCAGCTGGTGTTAAAATAACATGCACCAAAAGTAAGGTCTGGTGGGAATTATTATTATTATGTTAGCAAGCTAGGCTAACTAGCTTTCACTTTTTGAGTGGACTACAAACTTAACAGCACCACAACGTCCAAATGTTGAATGTTATGAAAAATGGATATAAAGTATGATGTGCTCAGTACCGCACCGCTGAAGTTGACAGTGTGCCTCCTACCAACAAAGGCCCTCAAATATCAGTCAGCTGTTGCCATGGGTAACGCCCACCCAGAGGGTTGAACATTGTTTCACAACTGTTTTTAAAAATCAAATACGGTTTTAGCATCTTTAGAGAAATTGAAAAGATATGCACAATAGCTGCAGTAACGTTATAGTTTATATTTCCTTATACAACATTTCAGTATGACTTTAAAAAACTTGACATATCGAAACAGACCTGTGTCGTAGAAGTGGGCCAGCAACTTTTCCTTCTCCACAAACCTCTGATACAGCCAGTCAGTCAGGGCCTGTGCCTCCACAGGAACCTCTTTTATTGGGTACATCCTGAAAAAAAACGAGACAGGCAGACAAAGAGTGAGATGAAACAAACAAAAAAAGGACCACTGTCGCACTCAGCAGAAACTGTCTGCATTTATCTGTTGTGGAAGCTGCAGTCCAGACCCAGAGTTGTCAGCTGTAGTCCCCGAGCAGAGCAGTCTAGTCCAAACTGGAGTCTATTACGACAGTCTGACTGTGTTTGCTGTAGCTTCAGCTTGTTTTGGGGATTCATTAGCTGGCAGGCTCATCAGAGTGTCACAGGAAGTGCTGAGGGAAGCCCAGACAGGAGACAGCCAAGTCATGAAGCTCCACAAAATGGTTATACGTGTGTGGAAAGTTAAAAAATAATATGTTAAATCAGTTCTGCCACCGAGCAAGAGAGAAGCTGCACTGTTATATTCTGGAAATAACTTACGTTTTCAACTTTTTGTAATCACAGTGGTGCACATGGGTGGGCACAGTGAGGCATTACTACATTTTTGGGTTAAGATTAAAGATTGTATTTGCTTGAAAAGATTCTGAAAACATGGCTGTAACATTATGTGTTTATTAAATCTCTGGCCATTTAATATTCTTTTGGTATCCACGAGTTATTATATTTTGTAATATATTTTTTTTAAAGAAAAGAGGGATGATGTTTTGTTTACTTGGTATCCACGGTGATTTACCAGTTACATGACTAATGGACTGTATATCAGGAAACCAGAAACAGCCTCAGACACCACCCCTTATGAAGAAAAGATAACCAAAACTGTTATAAACCATGGTGACATTTGAGAGGTAGAAACGAGATTTGTTGCCATTTTTGCTTACAAGTTTAATCTATTATCTTAATAGTTGCCAATCCTTTTTCAGTTTCACCTTCCAGCATTAACCTGACTAACACTTATTTAGCACTAGCTGTTCATTTCTCAAATAAGCCATTTCCAGCTGGCTAAAAACAATGAATTTCACAACTGACAAAACAATCGGTGACTTATTAAAAGGCTCACTTTTACAAGCCATGATGAGGGTGCTGTTGAAATCTTGTTTCTAGCCAGAAGGGGTCCCTAATAGGCTGCACTCCCACACAGCCAGCTCCTGGTCACCTTCAAATAGAGGTTACAGTCTCCTACCTCAGACACTTCCTCTGCGCTTAACATTTGCTTAATACTCACGGATAATGTCCACAGTAAAAGTACATATGTGCCTATGAGGAAAGCGTCTGTATGAGGGAAATAATAAGTGAGATAAGTATGAGTATTGATTACCAAAGTGATCGATATATGTCAAAAAGCAATATTAGCAAAAGGCATCCGCACTCCTGTCAGGATGATGTCACAGACGTGTTTCACCACTCTGCTGCAGGTACGAACTACATGAGCGGCTTCATGAGCCAGTATTCCCTAAATAAAAATACTAATAGAAAGTAATTAGGAGTGCTTGTTGTGTCAGTTTAGTCTGGAGAAGGGGTTAAATGAGGCACTTCCAGCAGCTCAGCACGAGCCTTTAGTCTGATTATTAGCAATCTAAAATTGTTCCTTGCTCATCACATGACTTTTCAAGCAAAAGTCTTTCAGCTTCCCAAATGTGAGGATTTACTGCTTTTCTTCATCGTGTATTAGTGTAAACTGAATATCTTTGGATTTTGGACAGACTGTCAAGTAAAACAAGGATTATTTTTGTATTTTTGGGCTCCAGGAAATTATAAGAGCATTTATCTCCTTAACATTTCATTGACAAAATGATTAATCGAGAAAATAATCTGCACATTAATTGATAATGAAAACAACTGTTAGTCGCAGCCTTAATTTCCACAAAAGTATTGACATGATCCCCTAAAAAAAAAAATAATAATAATCAGAAGCAGTGTTCACATGAAAAGTTTCCATTAGTTGAATAGATTTTAAAAAGGTATAGCTCTGTGATAATTAAATAACGGAATGTGCCAGAGCCATAGGATTAAAGGGATAACATCATACCATATACTGAATATTACATTACGCTCTCGACAGTAAAAACATGGTTTTTGAAAAGTATGGTATTGCCAAAGAGGAAAAGGCTTGGCCTGCTTATTCCACAGATCAAAAGGGCAAGGGCTGATGATTCAACACAGACTACCGCTTGGTTTGCATATTTTCAGAGCCTATCTCCAGACCCTTCTACTAATTATCCAGCAGGTCGCTGTGTGGGTGTTGCTCTGTGGCAAGTCAGAACAAGGTCCTGTTTAAGACAAGCAACTTTTATGTCCCCAGTGGTGTTCAACTCCTTTTAAATTCAAGATAAAACTGACTAAAATCCACAATTTTCATTCTGCTAAAGGTTCCAATAAAGCACACTTCTTGAAGGTAAAACATATTGTTAACAACAGCAACACCAGACGCCCCTGAGCGGCTTTGGCTGCACAAAAGAGGAGCTAAGCTTCCTAAGCCACATGATGCGGTGATTAGAGGCCGATGTAAGACGTTCCACAAAGCTTCTCTGACTGCGTCTGTAGATATCAGGTATCTATCACATTACTAAGAGAAACCATTAGCACTGTCTGATTCTCAAATCACACTAAGAAAGGAAAAAATAAGTTTATAAAGAGGCCGAGAATAACAGACACCAGCACCCCTTAATTGTAAGACTGATGCTATAACACCTGGATGGAAAGTAGCAATTAAAGCAAAGGATAAATAACGCAAGTCACAACTACAACAATAAAAGTGTGTTTTCCTGTAACTGCATGGTATTTGTGGTGATAGGTGATGATTTTTGGTTTTTAGGTACACATGTAGCTCCTTTTTTCACATAAACGACTGGTGACGGTTGTGTAAGTAAATTAATGATTAAATCTACGATACTCGAGCAAGCTCAGAGAGCGTTTCACACCTGCGCCAGTATAGGACGCTTGCCAAAGGGCCTCTGCACACCTAAATGTAAACTGATAACTCTGTTATCCTGACCGTGGAGAATAGGAGCTGGCTTGGGCCACTTATCCACAGGTTTGATCATTTAGGGTCTTGGGCAGCAGGTGGCTGCCACAGCGCTTTCCTGCAGCTGAAATATTCATGCAGAAATCAGGACCTTTGGTGTCTCGCTACTGAGGACAGCTGAGGGAGGCGCTTATATAGCATACATTATCTTCCCCGTATCAGCTGCTTTCTGTGGTTTATCAGCCAGGTTTGTTTCGAGAACAATGTCTGTAGCCATATCTCTAAGAGATATAACCACTCGCAACTAAAATCAACCAGCATGGAGGAAGTTCACAGGGTTCATTCCCTGCCCTGGAAACACCCGACTCCACATTTAGGCTGCTACCAATTGCACAGTCTTGCTGACCATCATCAAATTCCCACATTTCAGACGCTGGAATGACCAAAAGTTTAATTTTCTGCCAAATGATTCCGCTTTATTTAATTTCTATGACTGTTGCATTGACCAACAGTTGTTAAGGTTTGGCTCTTCATATTAAAGTTGAAATTTATCCCACAATTTTGCAGTTCTTTCCATTATCATGCAGCTTTGTTCTGCATATCCAACTTAAAGTAGATGTCTTTGCAAGTTATAACATGTTTTCTACCTTATGTTAGGCACTGGTACAGGTGCTCTGATAGTAAGTTTATTAAAGCCCATTTCACTCAAATTTAGTATGAATATATCCAACCAAGAATGAATTACACTACACTTGCACAGCAGTTGAAAGGATACTAAAAACGTACATAGGTCAAAACTACTGTGGCCTGCTGGATGTAAAAGCAACATCAGAAAATAAAACAGGTTCTGCAAACAGTCCCGTCAGATCTTTGTTGAACAGTTTGTGGCATTTATCTGTTCTTGTTTCATGCACTTCTCATTTGCATTCAAATTTCAATGAATGTTAACTACTGTATTTTAGTACTATTATCTATTTTTATAGTTGCATCAATTAAAGATTAAGCTGCCTTAATTAGTTGATGGATTAACCGCTAATAAACACTAATACTTTTAATGGCATTAAAATGTAGGTGAGAAGTTATGTTTTCGGCAAGTGCGGATACCCCGGAGAGGTGGTATAAATGCCGGGACTCTCTGCTGCTGCTGACGTGTAACGGTCGTACAAAAGTTCAAGCTGCAGCAAACATCAGCGGTCTGGTTTTGGCTCATAGAAAACAAACAGACTTTAATCAGTGAGTGTACCATGTCACCTGCAGGTCGTTGACAATGAACTCCAACTGCGAGGATAAGGATGCTAACAATGCTCTGCTATGGTTTTGTTTGCAGTAGAGCGAAAAATGGAAACACCACGCTACAGCATCAATATTGCGCTGTGTGAAAAGAAACATAGCGGTATTTGTTTTTGTTGTGCCAAGAGGTGCGGCGGCTTGTGTAACAGTGTATAGTTGTGATGGTGAGGAACTGGTGGTGGTTTGTTGGCGTGGGGCCACGGCCGGGCTCTCATTTCCACCCTAACCCACTTGGCACCAGGCTGCTTGTTAACCTGACACCCTGGCAGCTGTGAGAGAGCGGCAGTTTCCCCTGTCGATAACTTTAAACATCAGACTTTTAACGCGTGCCGACCCACACCACATCCAGCAGATGATGTACATCCTCCTATTTTGTGCTTTGTTTGAACCATAGCTTCTGTACAGCTCTTATTCTTGAGATATTGTTTCCTCTTCTAACAAGGCTGGGAAGCTAATTAAATATGGACTGTTGTAGGAAAAGTCTGTCCACTCAACAAGCCTCTTTGGAGGGTAGCCAGTCATTGTTTGGGGACTCTATACGGCCCTAAACCTTTCTGGCTGTGAAGTCTTGAGAAACAACGAGGTGCCCTGGGAGGCCTGCTCTGGGGCAGAAAGTTGCAAAAGGTGAATATTGAGATTAGTGCCCAGTTTCCTGTGCTGCTCCTGGTGTCTTTCTTGTTCAGATAACGGTCCTCATCTATGTGCAATGAAGCTCCAAATCACAAACTGCTGGCTTTGAGTTCTTTCTCTCAATCCTCCTGTGAAGTGAGGGTCAGGTTTACCAGCTGGGTCAACAATTAAGCAAAGAATAAGCACATA